TATCTTGAAAACTCATGTTTAGAGTGATGCTTTTCACTCTTAGGGGTGTTGAATCCAGTACATCTCATGGGAGGAAAATACTCTGTTCAGGAGGCTCAAACTGAAGGCTCTTTGTTGATCCACAATGAGTGAGATGCTTTTAACAGGAATCGACATACCATTTTCTTTTCAGTAGTCTCACTGAGTAGTGGGCATAGTGCCATAGTGTTATGTATTCTGGCATAGCCTCTTATGACCAGGAACAGTGTGGGCGGGCAGTGCTTGCTGCCAGCCTCGGTCCTCACAGGCTCCCGCCTAGAAACCTCTTTCCAGTGGAACAGCATCAGCTCTCAGAAGTGTCACTGCTTTATCTGACTCTCACAGGCCTAGGTTCTTGGAGAACGAATTTTAGGCTAGGCCTGTAGGGGATCAGAGACCTGTCTGAGAATGTAACAAATCCTCTTCATAGAAAAATATGTGGACACGGCAGAAATTTACGTGTAATTTCAGGAAATTGTAAACTCTGGTGTAAGCTCTTACGATTACTTTGCACTAACAGCTAGGATGGACGAACAAATCTTTGGAAGTGGAGTGATTGCCAGTGATGTAAATAAAACCTGTGAGGCTTATATTTCATTGACGGCAGTGTACAGAAGATAGGAATTAACCAGACTCCAGTTAAGCCAAACTCCTGACCCATTGGCACGGAATGTTGGGGCCTCACACTCTGGTCTCATCCACACTCCCAGCCTCCTGCTCATCAAGCACAACCACACTGACCCCTGCCCTCTGGGAGTGCTGTTCCCAGAAACTGGACGCCTTGCTTCCTTACTTTCTATAGTTCTTTTTTGAGGTCTCCCCTGATGGCCATTTGCATGATTACAAACCTGCTAGCATGTGCCACGCTGCACTCCTTGCCCTGTCTTCCGTTCTGTGCTTCACAGTATGTGTTGCCGTGTGACACTTCTTGTGTGCTTGTGGGTTATCTCAGATAAGCTGAGAATAAGCTAGAATGATCTGCATGAGGGCAGGGCATTTTGTTTCCTCCTCATACACCTAGACTAGTGCTTGGCACTTGAGAAGCCAACAAATCGTTGTCGATTACATGAAGAAACCAAATGTGAGCAATTTCCGTGACTTAAAGGTGTTCCAGTTCCTTATTACTGTGAGATAAATCACTCCAGAACTTAGTAGCTGACAACCCCAGTAAGTTTTGTGATCTCTTACGGTTCTAGAAGTGGACTGGGTTCAGCTAGGCGCTTTTCATTTAGGGTCTCTCACATGTTTCCAGTCTGAAGGTGGCTGGGCTGAGAATCCTCATAGGTCTGGTACCTGGGTGAGAAAGACTCAGACAGCTGGGGCTCTTGGGGCACCCCTCTCTATCTCTATGTGGTTTCCTAGCATGGCAGCTTCAGGGAAGGTGGGTTCTCAGGGGTGGCGCAGGGCTTCAAAGTGAGATTCCCCGGAGAGCTGTGCAGAGGCTGTGTGGCTTTTTGTAACCGAGACCTGGATGGCAGCATTATTGAGGCAGTCACAAAGGCCCTCCAGGGTTTAAGAGCAGGAATGCAGACTCCACTTGTTGATGGCAGGAGTATAAAAGAATTTGCAGACAGGTTTCATAACCACCACCAAAGCCTTTGTCCCATGTACACAGTCATAGATTGTCTTTATTGGGTACTATCAGAGTGCCTGGGCAAGAAAAAGTGAAGCAATGCAGTGAAATCTTTCCTGAAATGCAATCTTGCTAGTGTGTAAAATGCAGGAGAGGCGTGGGAGCCTGTAGCTCCCCCTATGTGGTTTCTTTACCTCAGCCAACCCGTAGAACTCCATGGGGTCCAGGCGAATCCATTGGGCCGAGAAGAGTTCTTCTCAGTTAATGAAATCTTTAGGTCTATGTTTGAGAGTAGATGTGGATTCCATAATAAAAAGAAATTATCCAGAGAGGTCTTAGAAACTATGTTCTTGTGCTATTTAATTGTCTGGCTCTTGTGTATTCACGTTCCTGTCCTAAGGGAATAGGTGTCCCATTTTATGTTTCTAATTCATGCAGCTCAGTTTGTATCATAGGCTGACACCATCACATTTTGGAAGTTTTTTAGAGTCTACCAGATCTTTTGCAACACCTCTTAGCTATAGTTCAAGTAGAATACCAAACATTTTAAAATAAAATATGAATTCGTATTTATTTGAAAGAAACAGTATAATACTCTTCTAAGAGGAGAAGAGGGTGTTAGTAAATAAAACAAAGTCCTAAATCCAGTAATTTGGGAATCTAGTCTCTATTTCCAGTATTGAATCTGTTTCATCATTCTGATTCTTAGGACAAAAAAAGGAAGTCTTTGCTACTTTTTTAGCACAATAAGAGATTGATTGGAAAATGTCCACGTGGGAGTATAGAAACCTCCAGTGAGGCCACCTGGAGTTCTATGGTGGCATCTTCTTTCTCACATGTGGGTTCTGTGCTGCACTCTGCTAGGAGAAACTGACACGTGTTCTCAGCCACTTTCTCTGTCACGAAGAGACCTAGACTCACGCAGCCATTATATTATAGTCTTCAATGTTTTATGTTTAATTGATACTTCAAAGAATGTGGTCTGTCTTGTTAACCAGGAACTTTAATCTTGATCCAACAGGATTTGTTTTCTTCACAAAATGTGAGTAAGTCAAAAGAGGCATCTCTCCTGCCTAGCAAACTCCCCACGTCGGTCTCGCTTTTTGATGATGAAGATGAAGAGGTAAACATTGTTACTGTAGTGCAAGATAAATAAGTTTTTGAGGAGTAGAAAACCATTGTTGATGTAGATTTCTAGTCAGAGGCTCATACAGTAGAACAAGGTGATAGGGAGGCAAACTATCTGAGGCTCACATAACAAAAATATTTAGCTTTTGTCTCAGTGATTCCTTCCTTGAGTCCTCTTAGCTGTACGATGGGCAGGACATTAGATTCTTGGCCCAGCTCTTGTGGAAGGCTTTGTAGATTTCATTTTAAAAATCTACCTGTAAGAAATATAGAGGATGGATCTTTGTTATACGCAGCGATCCACAACGTCTTGGACAAAGCAGGAATAGGAGAAGATGGCCATGTCCTCACCTTGTTTTTCTTTCCTGCCCTGCATGAGAGTGCAAAGTGGGGGAAAGAAATAAGAGGGAAGACAAACCAAATCTTCCCTCTTACGCAGTACTGTGCCGTGGCCAAGCTCATAGGCTTTGGCACCAGACCCCTGCCTTCACTTGCAAATCAGGGACCTTGGGCAAGTAACTTCAACCTCCTGAACCTAATATAGCTTAATAGAGTATAGGGTCATTGTAGCAGCCGACACAACTAATGTACAGCTCTTGACACTGTACCTGGCACATCGGAAGTATTAGCTCTTGCCGTTAGTATCCCCATCGGATGCCAGTTCATTTTTGGCACGGCCTTTCCTTATTTTCCCATACTCTACCCTGCTTAAAGGCTCCTTTCATTGAATTTTTACATATCAGGATTATTCACCTGCTGTAGTATATTGTTGAGAGTGTTCTTCTAACTTGGGTTCAGGCCCTCTGATGATTTTGTTTCTATTACCTTAGTGAAAATACCTTAATAGATACTTTGGGAATACCTGACTATACAAAACTTGGCAAATGCCATTCAACCTATGAGAATCAACTCTTCAGTAGGCCAGTGATTATATCTGGTAAATTATTTCTTAAGTTTGTGTTGTCTTTTTAAAATTAACCAGAAACACAAGTCATGCCTTCCCTCTGTCCCAGGTGTGTGACTTCGGTAGGTATGGAAGAGTGGAAAGAGCTCCCTATTTCTCTTTATTGTTAATAATCCATTGCTCTGGTTTCTAATTCATAGAAAGGTCCAAGTTGTTGGCTGCCACACGGGTTGTACTGGTCTCCCTAGTGAACATACAGGGCCCACCCACAGCGGGCCTGAGTGGGGCCGGATTTCTTCCTCGTTCTGTGTTCTTATCCTCAAGTTACCCTCCTCCTGCTCCTTCCCAAGTGTTTTGCCTTTGAGTTCCATGTGGTCTGTTTCCCTTCTGTGAATGGAGAATACAGTGAGAGAAGATAGTAGACTGTTATTTTAGGGATATACATAAGAGAGAAGTGGGATTTACTGGCATTTTGTGATTTTTTTTTTTTCTCTCCAAGGTGTTATACATATTCTGTACCTGACTAGAGATTTATTCTCTAACAATTTGACATGGAAGATCGAAGTGTTTTGTTTTATGTGTATGAAGTTGTCATACTCTTCTGTCATTTGTTTTTCTAGGATAATCTTTTTGGGGCAACAGCTGCTAAGAAGCAGACATCTTCTCTTCTAACTCAGAGCCAAGAGAAAGCAAAGCCTTCTGAGCCCTCCAGAAAGAAAGCATCTGCCTTACTGTTCAGCAGTGATGAGGAGGTGGGTTGCAAGTTTCTCCTGGAGAAGAGCAGGAAGTTGTTTGATGGGATTTAAGAGTTACAGCTATCCTGGGACGCCTGGGTGATTAAGCGTTAAGCGTCTGACTTCAGCTCAGGTCATGATCTCAAGGTTTGTGGGTTCGAGCCCTGCATTGGCCTCTGTGCTGACAGCTCAGAGCCTGGAGCCTGCTTTAGAATCTGTGCCTCCTTCTCTCTCAGCCCCTTCCCAACTCATGTGCTATCTCTCTTTGTCTCTCATAAATAAATAAACATTGAAAAAAAAAAAGGTTACAGCTGCTAAATATTTTCTTTTTCTACCTGTTTTATATCCAGTGAAGTTCAGTTACCAAAGACTATGTTCACAAAACTGTCTCTTCTTTTTCTGGAAGAAAGGTATTTAGTTTAAAGGTTAATGTTTTCATGACAGTTGAGAATAAAATAAGTATGCCCCTCAAATTATAACATATGCTAATTCACATGAGTTAGGCCTTATTTTATTTTATTTAAAAACTTTTTAAATTTATTTTTGAGAGAGAAAGTGCACGCACATGCAAGAGAATGGCAGAGAGAGAGAGAGAGGGAGAGAGAGAATCCCAAGCAGGCTCCATGCTGTCAGCACAGAGCCCAACATAGGGCTCAATCTCATGAACCGTAAGATCATGACCTGAGCCAAGATCAAGAGTTGTATGCTTAACTGACTGAGCCACCCAGGCACCCCTAGGCCTTATTTTATATTGTTAAATGATCCTTATGTTTCATTAATCAAGAATTATAGCTAGACATGTAATATTTATGCAAGCTTGACTTCTTTTTTATGAGTCTTTTTTTTTATTTATTTTTTTTTTAGTGTTTATTTTTGTGAGAGAGATAACAGAGCACAAGAGGGGGAGGGGCAGAGAAAGAGAGAGAGACAGAATCCGAAGCAGGCTGCAGGCTCTGAGCTGTCAGCACTGAACCCGAAATTGGGTTCACATCCACAAACCGTGAGATCATGACCTGAGGCGAGGTCAGATGCTTAACCGACTGAGCTACTTAGGCACCCGCCCCCCTTTCATAGGAGTCTTAATATTTTCATTTGCTATCTAGATACAAGTTAGCAAAGCCACTAGGGAATAGGGTTTAGCTGCTAATTTAGCTGTACAGAAAAAGACTTTGAAAACCCTGAGCATTTGGGGCATCTGGATGGCTTATTTTGTTGAGTATCTGACTTTGGTTCAGGTCATGATCTCACGGTTTGTGAGTTCAAGCCCTGCATTGAGCTTGCTGCTATCAGTGCAGAGCCCGCTTTGGATCCTCTGTCCCTCCCTCCCCTTTCTGTCCCTTCCAACCCCATGCTTTCTCTCTCAAAAATAAATAAAACATTTTTAAAAATTAAAAAAACAAAACAAAACCCTGAGCATTACAAATCTCCCTGGGGTGCTTGGGTGGCTCAGTTGGTTGAGCGTCCGACTTCACTCAGGTCATGATCTCACGGTTCTTGAGTTCGAGCCCCACGTCGGGCTCTCTCTGGTCAGCACAGAGCCTGCTTCAGATCCTCTGTCCCCATCTCTCTCTGTGCCTTCCCTGCTTGTATGTATGTTTTCTCTTTCTGTCTCTTTCAAAAATAAATTTAAAAATACTAAAAATCTTCTTGCATTACAATAATTGCTCTTCTTTATTTTAACATTGTAAGAAAATTATGAGGGTATGATGTGGATGGAGAAACTGTAGCTATATCAATGTTTTTTATTGGAAGTAATTTAAAATGACACAACATAATTTGCTTTTTCTATTCCAACAGAATTTATGATGGATTTTCTATTTTTTTCTTCCTAGCATTGTTAGTCGTTGTTCTCCCTATAGTAATGGGCAACCATAAGTGGAAATTTTCCTACCACAGTATTATAATGATTTAGGGAAAATGAAAACAAAATTGACTTTTGAACAACGTAGGAATTTAGGGTACTGACTTCCTGTGCAGTTGAAAATTGACATATAACTTTGGACTCTCCAGAAACTTAACTACTAATAAATAGTCTACTGTTGACCAAAATCCTTACCAATAATGTAGACAGTTGGTTAACACATATTTTACATGTTTTATGTATCATATATTCTATACCTAAAATAAAGTAAGCTAGAGGAAATAAAACGTTAAAATCATAAGGAAGGGAAATACATTAATGATACTGTACATATATTTATTGAAAAGAATCCATGTGCATTTCAAACCCGTGTTGTTCAGGGGTCAACCATATTAGCTAAAGCTGGGAGCAACAGTACTTAGCTGAGTAAAGATACCCAGTGTTCTAGAACAGTGATTCTCAACCTTGGCTACCCATTGGAATCGGCTGGAGAACTTTAAAGAGTACTCTTACTGAATTCCAGGGCTGGAGATTCTGAATTAAGTAGTTTGGCAGATGGTCTGTCCTTGGAATTTTCTAAAGTTCTCCTGGGAATTCCAGTGTATAGTCACTCTTGAGCCTTACTGCCCTAGAGGAGCACTTCTCAGACCATAACATGTGAAGAAATCACCTGGGCTTCCTGTTAACAAATGCAGGTTCTGATTCAGAAAGTCTGGGATCAAACCAGAATTCTGTATGACACATCCTGCTGGTTGTGGACCCCACTTTGATTGGAGAAGCTCTAGACTGTATAGAGACCAAAGGACCACTTATGTAAGTGTTCAGGAGTTCCAAGAGGTGAGAGCATAGCCAAGTGGGGTTCCCCTAAATGCTTTCTAAAGGTCAATTTCAGACTTTTGTTGATGGAAGGGGTCACCAGCATCTTTCATTGTGTCTTGTTTATATGTGCATTGCGTGAGTGTTCTATACATTTTTGTCCAGCCTGCTTCAGGATTTTTGAATTGAAATGTATAATTTTCCTCCAAAGTTGAGTGCTCTTGATTTTTTTTTTTTGACATTCGTCTTCTCAATTTCTTTATAACTAATTTTGAATCTCCTAAGGGTAGACAACGTCCCTTTTCCTAACCCAGAATAGGACCATAGAGGGGAGAAACATAGTGTAGTGATGGAGGAGGAAGGCAGAAAGTTTGCGAGGTCAAAGAACCCAGCTGTCTAGATTTGAGTTCAGAGGGAAAGTCCCAGTCATGAGTTCTCTTCAAGAGTGATGTACTTGATTAAGTATTTAGTGTAAATACAATTTAACGGAACTTAAATTTTATTTCCAGGTTCCTTCGTCTGAATGGTCACTGGGTTTTAATATATATTTTATATTTTAAGGATCAGTGGAATGTTACTGATTCACAGATGAACTCAGCGTCTGACAACAGATCTAAAGGAGAACTAAGGGGCTCTGGGACCAATCAGGAGCAGGAGGCTAAGGCTGTGAAAAAGACCAGCCTCTTTGAGGAGGATGATGAAGATGATCTGTTTGCTGTTGCTAAGGACAGGTAAGGTAGTCATTGTAAGAAATCATTTAGCCAGTGTCTGTGGTAATAAGTAAAGGTATTTGATACATAAGATGTTAGTTATTTGGGGGTGACATCATGATTATTCATTACCTAGTAGTTATACAAAGGAGAATGTGTTTGATTTTCACTTGTAAGGTATTTCCCCCCAATACTGGGAAATGTTTTTGTTAGCAGATTTACCTAATTTCTTTTAATTATTTTTTTTAACCCCTAAATATTATTTTTCTTAGTTTGTTAGGGATTTAAGTGCAGCTTGTTATCTTTTGTTTTTGTTTTTCCTCTGAGATGCCCTGTAGAATGTAAGGTTTGGTCTGGGTTACTTAAGTTTCTCATTTGAATGGAAATCTGCTCAGCATTGAAAAACATCCTGTTAGGAGGATGATTCTTTGCAGAGTGGTGCTTTGTCACACCAGTGGCTGGTGATTCTTAGCTGATCTAGGTGGTGTCCACATGAATACTTGAACTAAAGCCAGCAGGATATTTCATAGACTGAGCATGGGCTGTATTGGTGTTGTAACATGTTGCTTTACACAATAGCAAGTGTAGGAGGGGATGTGGAATGTGGGGAAATAGGTTCTATTTACAGAAATGGGTTAGAAAAAAGCTTAGGGCGGAAAACCGCCACCAAGGGCAAAAGCACCTGAGGTTAGCTAGCAAGTTATTGTAATGGGATCACGAGTAACTTGTTATATTGCCTGTAGGAAATTACTTTCCATCTGACTCCAATATACTGTTGTACCTTGATCACAAACTCCACTTGTCCCCCAGACCCTTTGCTTCTTATACACACAAGTTAATGATTACTTCTGATTGTTTTCTCCACGTCTCTGTGTGTAAGATCTTTTTTTCTTCACGTTCACCACGTGGGTAATATCTTGTGAACTCAATAAATACAGAGACAAAACCCCTGTCAGGGCTCATGTCTCCTCCCGGACATCAGCCTCTCTCATATTCAATTCTGCGTCTGCTCTCTTCCTGGACCAGAGAGAACTCCAGACTCATAGTCTGCGACGGTGGAAGAATTGGAGCCCTCACACAATGCTAGTGGGAATGTAAAATGGTGCCACTTTGGGGAACAGTCCAGCAGTTCCTTAAAAAGTTAAATACGGAGTTACTCTAGGACTTAATTTCATTCTTGGGTAGATGCTCAAGAGAAATGAAAACATGTCCACACAAACACTTATATATGATTGTTCATTGTAGCATTATTCGTGGAAGCCAGAAAGTGGAAATAAGGCAAACATCCCATCAACTGACGACAGGATGCAGAAAATATGTTCTATCCATACAGTGAACTCTGACTCAGCAATAAGAAGGAATAAAGTATTGATACATGCTACAACATAGTTGAACCTTACATATCGTGTTAATTGAAAGCAGCCAGTCACAGAGGACCACATGCATGGTTCCCTTTGCATATAATGTCCAGAACAGATAAATCTATGGAGACAGAAAGTAAATTAGTGTTTGCCTGGGGGGAGGAGAATTGAGTCTGTTAACAGGCATGAGGCATCATTTTGGATTGATGGAAATACTGTGAACCTAGATTGTGGTGATGGTTGCACAACTCTGTAACTATACTAAAAACCAGTGAAGTGCATATTATAAAGGGGTAGATTTTATGGTTTGTAAATTATATCTCAAAACCATTCTGAAAACAGAAAGAAGCTCTGTGACTTCAACAGAGTTGTGAAATACTGCCTGGTTAGCTGGGCACTTAGGTGTCCTGGCTTGCCTGGACAGCCCTGGTTTGTGCCTGCCATTCCAGCATGACGACTAATAATAATTTCCCTTTCACTCTCAGAAATGTTCTGGTTTAGGCAATAGGCCCTGTGGTTATCTGAATGTTTTCTCATGTCTGTACCTTTCAAATAAATCAAAATACTTAACCTGTTATTTATAATGAGAAACACCCTAGTTCGCTGAGCAGCATATTTTTCTTCTGAGGACAGATCTCCATGGGAGGGCCAAACTTAACCAGCAGTTGCTGAGTATGTGGAGTGAGAGCCAACGTTAAGGACTGGCTGTTGTTTCCTATTAGAGCTCTGGCCAGAGAGCTAACTAGTTTTCTGTAGCTTACCTTCAGAATCTGTCATCACATATTTTTTGTGGGTTGGTTTGGTGTTTTGCTGTGTTTTGTTTTGTTTTTTTACAAATTACTTGTTCATGGGGCGCCTGGGTGGCTCAGTCAGTTAAGCATCCGACTTTGGTTGAGGTCATGATCTCACGGTTTTTGAGTTCGAGCCCCGCGTCGGGCTCTGGGCTGACAGTTCAGAGCCTGGAGCCTGCTTCAGATTCTGTGTCTCCCTTTGTCTGCCCCTCCACTGCTTGCACTCTGTCTCTTGCATTGTCTCAAAAATGAATAAACATTAAAATTTTTTTTTAATTAAAAAAAAATTACTTGTTCAAGCTTAGTTGGTTAAGTGTCTGACTTTAGCTCAGGTCATGATCTCACAGTTTGTGAGTTTGAGCCCCACATTGGGCTCTGTGCTGACAGATCAGAGCCTGGAGCCTGATTCAGATTCTGTGTCTCCTCTCTCTGCCCCTTCCCCGCTCACACTCTGTCTCTCTCAAAAATAAATAAACATTAAGAATAAAAAAGAAATTGCTTGTTCAGAAAATCATGCATGGGATATTTTCCTGCTATAGTTGCTTAATGAGGTTTCTGGTATTCTTTTTTTTTTTTTTTTTTTTAGTGTTTTATTTATTTTTGAGAGAGAGAGTTCAAGCAGGACAGGGGCAGAGAGAGAGGGAGACAGAATCCAAAGCAGGCTCCAGGCTCCAAGCTGTCAGCCCAGAGCCCAATGCGGGGCTCAGACCCACAGACTGTAAGATCACGACCTGAGCCGAAGTTGGATGCTTAACTGACTGAGCCACCCAGGTGCCCCTTGGTTTCTGGTATTCTTTAGGCATCTGATATAGTGATTGCTCGTCATCTAGAAGTCAACTGTTTTGGTTATAATTTATACAAATTTTTATTAGTGTATATCTATAAATGTATATTAGATACTACTGTACTGTGTCATTAAAAATTGGCTTTTTGCTTTTATAACTTATTCAGGGTATAGTCTTAATGTTTAACCATTCTTTAGTGTATACGTCCAATTAAGTGCACTCAACTATTTGGTTAGTTTTGTTCCCTAGTCTGTGATAAGGATCAAGGTTTTTTTGTATTTGTTTTTGTTTTTTTTTTAAGATATAGGCAGAAGTCGGTATTAAACTAATGAATGTTTCCTAGTGTCTTGCTAATAATTAAACTTACAAAAAAGGTTATAATACATATACTTATTAGTGTGTAAGTTAATTATATTCTAACGTAAGTAGATATAGATGGTAAACAATTTGCTGAAATAACATGTTAGTATTACTTTTAGCTAGCTAAAATTGAATTTAAAGTTTGCATTACTTTGGTAATTCTGTAGTGTGCTAGTTGGATGATTCCTTATCACATAGTGAAAACTGGAACTTGACCTTTGAGTAGTTAGAATGCTTTCTGTTCTGGATTCCCCATGTCTAGTGCTAAGCCTCCCTGTGATTCTCCACTTTCATGTATCTGTCCCTTAAAAGCTCTGATCAGTATTTGTTCTGTTTTTTTTTTTTTTTTAATTTTTTTTTCCCAACGTTTTTTATTTATTTTTGGGACAGAGAGAGACAGAGCATGAACGGGGGAGGGGCAGAGAGAGAGGGAGACACAGAACCGGAAACAGGCTCCAGGCTCTGAGCCATCAGCCCAGAGCCTGACGCGGGGCTCGAACTCACGGACCGCAAGATCGTGACCTGGCTGAAGTCGGACGCTTAACCGACTGCGCCACCCAGGCGCCCCAGTATTTGTTCTGTTTATTGGCTACCTTCTCTGTGGAGCCAGGGCAGAATCTAGGTGAGAAGGTAGGTGAAGACCAGCTAGAGGAAGGTGGTGAGGAGAGCTGTGGCTGAAAGGGCCCAGTATATTCTCTCTCTCTCTTTCTCTCAATATTTTAACTTCACACTGTTTTTGGTTTTGTTTTGTTTTGTTTTTAAGTAGGCTCCACACCCAACATGGGGCTTGAGCTCATGACTCTGGAATCAAGAGTCACATGTTCTACTGACTGAACCAGCCAGGTGCTCCCACCCGCCCCAACCCCACTATATTCTTTATTGAAAATAAATGCTGGAGATCTCGTTTCTGTGTATCTAGAGAATTCTAGAAAGCTAATGGTCCTTATAAAATTGAATAATGCAAATCTTTGTAGTATTTTTACTCCAAACCTACCTCTCCTCCCAGCATCCCCATACATGCTTTTAAATACTTGCAAAGCTAGTGCTCGCTTCAGCAGCACGTATACTAAATACTTGCAAAGCTAACAGTTAGTGCTCCTACAGTGAATCAAAGGGACAAGTAGAGAAGGCCCCTGAACTCTTCCACATAAGGATGAGAGACAGGCTGATGATTTGCTAGACACAAATGGCACCTACTTCAAAAGTTTTTCTCATTTGCTTTCAACTACCTAAGGTCAGCAGATGTCTTGGGTGTTTTGGTGGTAGGTGGGTTCCTGTAAGTATGGCCTGGAAGGAATATTGTATATATATATATTTTAATCATACTTGCCTTTAATTTCACCTTTTGCTTGATTGTATAGCCAAAAGAAGACCCAGAGAGTGTCACTCCTCTTTGAAGATGATGCCGATAGTGGAAGCTCTCTCTTTGGCTCTCCTCCTGCATCTGTTCCTCCTGCAACAACGGTATTCTTGACCTCCTAGGCCCAGGAAATATCCTTGCCATGATCTTATGTGAATAGTGATACTTCCCTGAATCAGCTCCTAAACCTGACCTTGTGGGCTAAGTCTAATAGAAAAACCTATTTGCCTAGTTTTAGAAATAGATCATCTAGTTATGGTATTTGATGAAGCACACGTGCAAAGCGTGGGGGAAAGGGTTCCTTAATGTCCTGCAGCCCCTTCAGCATCAGGGGTGGGTCTCTGAAGTCTGAGGGGAGAGCACCGTTGCAGTTCTGGGCAGGTCGCCAGGCTTAGCCCCAGTGGCATGGAATTGTGCAAACATTAGACCAGGTCAGTTAAGGCACACATTATTCCTTTCAGGAGCATGTTTCAAGTACCAACGCTTTGGTCCTGGTTTATGTGAATAGCCAGTCAGTAAAACGGAAGGAAATTCTGGTACCTGCCAGAACAAGGATGAACCTCGAGGACTTTATATTGAGTGAAATAAGCCAGTCAGAAAAAGACAAATAGTATATGATGCTACTTACATGAGGTACCTGGAGTAGTGAAATTCATCGAAGCTGAAAGTAAACTAGTGGTTGTCAGGGGCTAGCAGGAGAGGGAGATGGGAAGTTGTTCAAGGGGACAGAGTTTCAGTTGCAAGATGGAAAAATTCTGGAGATTGGTGGCATAACAATGTGAATATTTTTAACACTGCTGAATTATAAATGGTTAAGATGATACATTTTGTTTTTTGCCATGGTTAAAAATTTTTAAAAAATTACAGTAAAGGGGGCACCTGGCTGGTTTGGTCAGTAGAGCACACGGCTCTTGATCTCAGGGTCATGAGTTTGAGCCCCATGTTGGTGGGTTTAGAGATTACCTACATAAATAAACCTAAAAAACATTGAATATATATATTTTTAATATTTATTTTTGGGAGGGAGAGAGAGAGAGAAAGACAGAGAGGGAGAGTGAGCAGGGGAGGGGCAGAGAGAGAGACAGACAGAATCCTGAAGCAGGCTCCAGCCTCTGAGCTGTCAGCACAGAGCTTGATGTGGGGCTTGAACTCATGAACTGTGAGATCATGAGCCACCCAGGTGCCCCTAAAAAAACATAAAAAAGGTAAAGTATGTAATAAAAAGTCCATCAGTGGCATCTGGTGTAAAGGATTCCAGTGAGTACATCTAAATGACATCACAATCATTGTGGTGGTCTAAATGACCACAATCACCTCAGCTAAAGATTTAGCCAATCTTGGTGTTAGTTCTATCAAAAAGGAGTATTAAAGAATGAGAGGAACTGGGGCGCCTGGGTGGCGCAGTCGGTTAAGCGTCCGACTTCAGCCAGGTCACGATCTCGCGGTCCGGGAGTTCGAGCCCCGCGTCGGGCTCTGGGCTGATGGCTCAGAGCCTGGAGCCTGTTTCCCATTCTGTGTCTCCCTCTCTCTCTGCCCCTCCCCCGTTCATGCTCTGTCTCTCTCTGTCCCAAAAATAAATAAACGTTGGAAAAAAAAATTTTTTTAAAAAAAGAATGAGAGGAAGCTGGCATTATGTTATATTTATCCAGGGAACCTGGGCATACTGGGATCCTGCCCTGGCCTGTCATTCATCTTTCCCCAGCTCATTCCTTAGTGGGTGTATGTGAGTGTGTGCGCATAGAGCAAAATGAGGCCAAACAGCTATTTTACTGCCAGCTGGCAATTGTAACACCCCAAAGGGAAATGTGGAACTTTTTAGGCTAGACCCCATGGATTAGAACTCCTTTATCTGACCTGGGTTAGCCTAAAAGGCCAAGAATCAAGCCAACTCACAGCCTGCTGTCAGGCCTTCGACTCCCAACTCCACGCCATTCAAACCTGGCATGTGACAGAGGCAAAAAGACACTTAAGACCAGGAAGAAGGTAAGAGCCCGTGGGACCCCTCCTACGCTGGAGCAGCCACCACGGCAACTCTGCCACCCGTGCTTGATGAGGAAGGCCCTCCTCCTCCCACCGTGGTGATGGGCGACCAAGTCCCTGTTACATGCATAGGTTTGATGAAGGAGAGATAAGACCGTAAAGGAGCCTTGGAACTTCTGTTTTCTAGAGGCTGATACTTGGTTTTTCCATTCCTCCTGAATAGTTTTTGTTTCAAGTTTATTTTACATTATGCAGTAATATGTGGATGTCTTCTTTAAAAAGGTTTAGAAAATGCACGGAGAATACAAAGTCCTTATGCTCCTGCCAGAGTAGTCATTGGTAACAGTGCATTGTCAGCCCTTTCAGGCCTGTTTCCAGGCATTCACTCTATTTAGTTAAATGAGGTCATGTTGTACCTTTTTCTGTAAGTTGTTTTGTCCTGCAACATGTTTTTCATTTCCATAAGCTTTAGCTTCTTTTTTCACCACTATCAGTATTCCGTAGTGTAGCTGTCCCAGGGTATGTGTGACTTATTTTGCCTTTGATGGAGTAATTGTCACTGTTTCCTGTTTATTAGGGATCTCTCTCCCCTTTTTTTTTAAGTTTTTAAATTATTTTAAAGTTTATGTATTTATTTATTTTATTTATTTATTTTTTGAGAGAGCACAAGTGAGAGAAGGGCAGAGAGAAGGAGAGACGGAATCCCAAAAAGGCTCTGTGCCATCAGCGCACAGCCCAGTGCGGGGCTGCAACTCACTAACTGTGAGATCATGAGTTGAGCCGAGATCAAGATCAGGACGCTGCGCCACACCAGCGCCTCTAGGGAAGTCTCTTTCCATCCCAACTTCCGGGTCATCTTTAGCCTTGACTACTGAGATAATTTCTTACCTGGCCTCTCCTCGAATGCTCCTTCCTTTCATCTGCGCTTCTTGCTGTTGCTCTGGTTCTATTCTTAAAGGCAGCCTGATCCTATCACGTCCTTGTCACAAATGCCTAAGCTTGCGGTGCCACCCGTAATCTCATTCACACTGGACTCATCTCTTCCAGCCTCACTCTCCGTGTGCTTTAGGTGACTCTTGCTGTCCCAGATTACTCCAGAGAAGGTTGTTGTCTCTCTTATCGGGAAACAGTTTTCATTTTGTCAGACATAGTGCAACTGTTAACTTGTCCTATGGAAGCTTCCCAGACCAGGATCTTGTCAGTTGATGATTTAGGAACTTTTTTCCCCCACTGTATTCCCATTAAGTGGGTGTGCATGGCTTACACCAGAAGCTTTCAGCATTGGGAGGAACATGCTATGTTCCCTGGGCCCCGGGGCTCCCTCCTGCTGCTTCTGAGGTGCTCATGATCTTTTCTTCGAATCACCCATACTTGCACCTCCCTAAAGATGACATCAAGTGGTTCCGTGGTTAAAAGGGTCAGGAGATAGGGGGGGCGCCTGGGTGGTGCAGTCGGTTGAGCGTCCGACTTCAGCCAGGTCACGATCTCGCCGTCCGTGGGTTCGAGCCCTGCATCGGGCTCTGGGCTGATGGCTCAGAGCCTGGAGCCTGTTTCTGATTCTGTGTCTCCCTCTCTCTCTGCCCCTCCCCCGTTCATGCTCTGTCTCTCTCTGTCCCAAAAATAAATAAACGTTGAAAAAAAAAAAATTAAAAAAAAAAAAAGGGTCAGGAGATCTGAGTGGTTTTTCATTGTAGATTATAAATAATAACTTCTTCTCTAGATAAATGAGCAATAACCTAATAAATTTTAAAGGTCATGGAAATGGAAAACTTCTTTCAACCTGTAGTAATTATGACTGTTAAATAAGACAGAGGCTCAAAGATCTACATCTCACGTAGCTGAACAAACTGTACACAGATTCTTACCATTTGTGAAATACAGTTCCCTTCAGACAGCAGTGTATAAAACACTTTTTTTTTTGTTTAGAGATCCTGAATATTTTAAAGTTAGCTGTGACTCTGTTATAAACCTGTCAAAGAAATTAATTTCACGATGAAGATGAAGTCAGCTTTATCTTTAGGAAGATTTGCAACTGATAGTTTGGGTGGCGTTTTCCTTGGTTTAAGGGGCCATACTAAAGTCTCATTTTTCACCCTGACCGGTTTGCGTTGAAGTTGTATGTGGTTTTCAGAGAGCCCAGTGCATTCCACCAAAAGTTTTTCCTTTAATCACTTCAGTATTGCCTTACCTCTTCTGAAATTGCTTTGTGGGTTTCCAGCCTTTTATTTCAGGTTAAAACTGATGATACATTTTAAGGACCTCTTCCTAACAATAATTAAAAATGTTACTCTATTTTTTACTTCATTTATAATTTTTTCTCTCTCGTAGTTAAGGAGCATTCTTCTTTGATTTCCCAAATCTGTCTTCCTAACTTGATTTAGATATTGCTTCAAAGCCTACTTCCTCATAACGTCTCATCTAGTTGGTATGATAGAGTTATAGTTTTTCCTCAAGAATTTTTGATCACTTTCCCTAAGGATGCTGATAACTGTAGGTGAGTCACATAACCTCAGTTTTCTAATCCCTGAAATCCCTGCCTCCCCCATCAGGGACATGACAGATTGAGCAAAGTGCTCGCAAACTGGTGTGGACCATCTACTTGGTATAAAACACCATGACTCACTGTTGAATTATATTATCCTTTCAAGGGAATAGACAGACATATGTGATAGCTATTAATGTAAGTTAAGAAGAAAATAAAATCGAGGTAGACAGATAAATAATCTTACCAGTGTAGCAACTGATAGTTACTGAAGAAGGTAGAGAAACCTTTATGGGGACCTCAAGCTGGGCCTTGCTTGAAAGATGAGGATTTGCTTCTACAGACAGTGGGGAAGGGTGCAAATTCACGGAAGGTTTAAGGAATAGTGAAGATTGAGGGCACCTGAGTGGCTCTGTCGGTTAAGCGTCTGACTCCTGATCTTGGCTCAGGTCATGATCTCACGGTTTGTGAGTTCAAGCCCTGCATCAGGCTCTGTGTTGATGGCGGAGAGCCTGCTTGGGATTCTGCCTCTCTTTCTCTCTGCCCCTCATCTGCTTGTGCTCTCTCTCTCAAAATAAATAAACTTAAAAGAAGAAAAGGAATAGGGAAGATTGGTAAGATGCAGGTAAACAAAGGGAGAAGATGAGGTATTAGTTGATAGTCACATTTAGCATTTACTTAATGCAAATAGTGCAGCTTTGGGGTGGGAGATGAAGCAATCTGGTACGTATTTTCTTTTAGCAGAGGCAGCTCTGGATGACATCATTGACCTGAAATGTGGGAGGACCGAGGCAGAGAGGAGAGACTAGTGGTTATCTGGGAGTCAGACATAAGGTTCTAATCAATAGCAGTATCTGTGAAGTGAATGGACACACGGAGACAGGTGCACGCGTTACCGTGGCAGAAGCTGTGAAGGGCTGTGTCTATAAGTGAGGTGGTGGCGTTTATTGCTTCTCCCTGTTTGTGCCCCCTTCACTGTCCCGCACTGTCTCTCCCTCCACATTTCACTAACTCCCTCAAGAAGATTGTGGTTTCACCTTGTTCTTTATGTTGTCATGCTAGTAAAGCACACTTTTTTTTTTTTAATTAGAGAGAGAGAGCAAGCAAGCGAGCACACAAGTGGGAAAAGGGCAGTGGGAGAGAGAGAATCTTAAGTAGGCTCCACGCTCCACGCACATCCCAATGTGAGGCTCGATCCCACAACCCTGGGATCATGACCTGAGCCCAAATCAAGAGTTGGATGCTCAACCGACTGAGCCACCCAGGCACCCCCACAGTTTTGTTTTTAAGGATGTCATTTGCTCTTCTTTTGGTAGAAAAGAGAGACTGTCCCTGAAGTACCACCTTTGCTGTTCAGCGACGAAGAAAAGGAGGCACCATTCGGAGTGAAACCTGGGGATAAGAAGGTTGATGGTGGCAAAGACTCATCAGCAGTAGGGAGCACTCATTTGGTTGAGGAGTCAGAAAAGGTAGACTTCTTTTTTTTGCATTTATATTCTGAGGTGTTTGTTTCTCATGTTTTGTAAAATGCAGACACACCCACACACAAATGCACACACCCTTACTTTTTCTACCACAGAAAATAAATGGCTACTTTGTTGAATATATTGAAAATACTGAAAAGTCTGAAGAAGAAAATCGGATCCCTCCATTCAGGGAAACCTTCAACATCGTTCTTGCTGTTGGGACTCTTTTCTGGGCAAATGTGCACACGGTGATGTGCGTGTCTCCTGTTTTACAGTCTTTTGTCATCTTGTGCCCATGTCCGTTTTGCCTTTCTCTCTCCAGGGTGTTCTTCCACATCTTGTTTTTCATTTTGGTTTTCTCTCTGCATGTTTGCTCTTTCTGACTTTGTCCACTTGTACTTGAATTAAAATGGCAGTTTTAAGATTTTAGTCTCCCATTCCTTTATATTTAGTGGATGTTGGCTGTGAATTAGAGAGCAAAGTGAAATTTATCTCTCTTCTAAAACCTTTGCTTTCTTCTCCTGGGTGGTCTGTTATCTCCTGCAGGAGCCTGTGAAAAGGCTGCTGGCTGCACCTGGAGGTCAGTGACCTCTTTTTTTTCTAACCTCTTTTTTTTCTAACTTTTCCTGTTCTCTGCGTGTTCAGCTATTCACATTTAACCTCTGTTTCAGGACCTGTGTGAAGAATATTGTATATACTTTTCCTGTTGAGGCTCCTTAGAGCTGCAGTGATACAAATTTTTCACTTGTGCCTGAGACACTGTCTACCTATAGTTTCTATGTGGACCTGTTCTCTGTTCCTGTAGCCCAAGTTACCCCAGTCATAGCCCCTTCCATACTTGAATTCTAATTGCTTATTGTACTGCTGGCCCTGACTTGAGTGTAAGCTCCTTGAGGATTGGGACCAGGTTTCTTTTGCTCATCATTATATCTGTAGTACTTAGCATGTTACCTCACACATACTAGGCACTTTTATTTTTATTTATTTATTTATTTTTTAAGTTTTATTTACTTTGAGAGAGAGAGGGAGAGCATGAGCAGGGGAGGGGCAGAGAGAAGGAGAGAGAGAATCCCAAGAATCTCTGCTTCTCCCAAGCAGAGAATCCACAGTGTCAGTGCAGAGCCCGACACGGGGCTCACACTCACAAACTCTGAGATCATGACCTGAGCCGAAATCAAGAGTTACCACTTAACCGACTGAGCCACCCAGGCACCCCCATACTAGGCACTTTTAAATTACGTATTTCTTCTGGGGTGCCTGGGTGGCTTAGTCAGTTAAGTGTTCAAGTCTTGGTTTTGGCACAGGTCATTATCTTGTGGCTTTGTGGGTTCAAGGCCCGCATCAGGCTCTACACTGGCAGCTCAGAACCTGCTTGGGATTCTCTCTCTCTCTCTCTCTCTCTCTCTCTCTCTCTCTCTCTCCCCCCCTCTCTCTCTGCCCCTTCCCCATTCACACTATCTCTGTCTCTCTCAAAATAAATAAACTTAAATAAATTACATATTTCTTCAAACAAGCATAGTTTTCACAGTTTAACCACTCAAATTAGGATGCATTTCACAATCAGTGGCATATTTTAGACTTGTTTTTTTCTTTCTCAGTGGTTTATAGAGTAATAGTGGATCTTAAAATCAATGGTATCTTACTTGAAATGTGGAACTTGTTGAATGAATAAATGCTACATTTTAGGATCATTTTAGTGGTTCTTATAATTGCATAATACAGTGTGACCTTCTACAATTTAAGTAATTTTTTCAGGTTTCTTCTTGGGACTTAGGTATTAATTAAATACTAGGAAATAATATGATCCACTCCTAGTGATGGATATTTGTGCTTTCTCTGTGACTGGCAAATTATTATTATTATTATTATTATTATTATTATTTTTAATTTTAATGTATTTTTTGACATTTATTAATTTATTTTTTTAATATATGAAATTTATTGTCAAATTGGTTTCCATACAACACCCAGTG